AAAACAAGACTGCCACAATAGCATGACATAAGAAAGGTTTAAAGAAATGATAGACGTCTGCAAAGGAGGATACTTGTTTATGTAGATGAAGAATAGGTAACAAGTACATGTGTCACATGAATGAATGAATGGTTTTATTCAAATTTAAAATCACTGGCAGCCACATGGCTGAATTGCTGATTCTATTACAGACGTACAATTCATGATAAAAGAAAAAGACCAGTATTAATACGTTAACATTGTAAAATTTCATTCAAGCCTTATTTTTCACAGTCAGTGCCGGTCTTGATTACAAATCTCCACAATTTAAAAACATTTAAGAGATGCGTCGTCGACTTAGCTAGGTAAAAACGTAATTTAAGGCACTACGTAGAAATAAAATTAGCGTTATGTTTGAAAATATATGGGTCGACTCAAACAGTCCTTCACACAAAGTCGTAACTTCTGAGATTGGAACTAGGTCATACAATTTCTAAAATGGTACACAAATTTTCATAATAATTCACAAAGTTCATCATCAGTTTTGCATGTTTAGGAGTCTGACGAAGTAAGGGATAGGTGAGTCTTTGTAACGGTCAGTTCTACATCTGATTGTCCTTATCAAGTTCGAGTTTCTAGTGGCTTTGTTGTGAATGTCTGAGGCTCTTGGGGGGAGCATTGCAGGGTCCATCTTCTTTGCGAACTTAAGGCACAAGTCCGTTCTTCTTTGTTCAAGTGTCTGTAGGTTCGTGTTCTGCAGGGCGGTTTCATAGTTGATGTAACGCTCCCCGAGGATGGTTCGCAGAGCTCTTTTCTGGATCCTCTCCAGACGTACAGTTTGTGATGATGTCAGTCCCGAGTGCCAGACAGGCGCGCAATATTCCACAACAGGGCGTACGTACGACGTGTAGACTTGGATGAGGTCGTCGGTTGTAAGGTCGAAGCGTTTCAGTCTTCTCAACATGAACAGTCGGCCATTTGCTTTGGATAGCATCTTTGCTACTTGCGTCGCCCATTTCAGGTTGGCTTGTAACCACACCCCGAGTAAACATGTGACAGGTACTGTTTCCAGCTGTGTTCCGTCGATTGTAAGGATGGGCGATGCTGGGGGCTGTTTCATGAAACAAAACACCATCGCTTTGCACTTTAAAGAAACTCATTGTAATATCATATTCTAGACTTACAAGAACAACTAGCTACAATTCTATCATCATCAAGTAGATGTCAGATTTGTGTACATGTTCTTTCTTGTACAATGTATATGATTATTTCACCATACATACTATCTCCTTTCCTTACCGCCATATTAGTAAAATTAACAGTTAAGCTTATGTGGTAACTGCTGTCATCTTTGCACTGTATTGTCTTTGCTTTTTGTGTAATGCTTGCACGGAGAGTCACATTTATAATATTGTGCAGAATGGGCATTGTTTGTAAGTGTTTAAACTGTCAAATAATGGTGTGAGGGGAGGGCTAGTAAAAAAGACACCCAAGTATGACCAAGTGCACATATGATGTAGTATCTGGTGGAAGTACTTTGACTTCCCCGAAGAGAAAATTAGTTGCTATATTGTGTATATACACAGAAAAAAGGTGACGTGATCTCCATGTATATGAGCTTGCTAAAGCGACAACCATTGAATGTGAATAAAAGCTACTGGTATTCTTCAGATACAGTTGTCCTAGTGGTATTGCATGTGTAGATATTATAAGAGGATTATCAATATTGTGTTGGGGATCATAAATGTCATGATTCAGGTTTTTATGTTTACCGAAGGAAAACATATTGTTTTTACTCAATTTCTTCTTCTTCTTCTGTTCCAAACACTAACCTCTGACCTGGCCAATGACCTGATTTGTTGACGTCTGTCACCATGGTGACAGACGTCAACACAAACATTACAAGAGGACATCACTCACGCTTCATCACCATCCCATGCAAGACAGAAGCATACAGAGCCAGTTATTTCCCTCGAACCGTCATCGAGTGGAACACACTACCAGGTACACTCATATCTTGCACATCCCTTGATGCGTTTAAGGCGGGATTGGCCAGTCACCTTGGCCTCTCCGCCAATACCCAGCTGTAGGGTTATTTTTGTTTTCTGGTGTGGCTTTTGTATATAGTTGCACATTTCGGTTTCTTCTTTTTGCAATTTATTATTTATAGATCATTTTTCATTTGTTTGTATATTTTTGTTGCGCACCACCACCTGCCACACCAGCTGCACCTCCTTCCCGGGACGTGATGTGCCGTGAGGCACTTTGTCCCGTATCATGTAGATGTAGATGTAGATGTAGATGTAGATAGATGGTAACTGGTGTTGGGTTACATCATGTTGCAAGTTTATAGTAGGAGACATTTTGACTCCTGTCTGACCATATATATGAATGTATTTGAGTAAGAATTAATAGCAGACCACATGTGAAGGTAAACATTATGCATTTGCTTTGCAAATGTTACTTCTCTAGTTCTTATTACATTTTCTTCAAGGTTATTCCCAAAGATGAAGACATGACAGCTGGCATCAACAGTGGATTTGGCAAACCTGTACATCTATATAAAATCAATGCTTAACAAATGTAATATGGAGAGACATTGGCTACTGAGAATTGTGAAATACTTAGTATTCAAAGAGGTTTTATTTAGTTCATCATACTTAACATGTTCTGTCTTGCCTATCTTTACTACAGTTCTTTCAACCATATATGCATGAACTTAAAAACACTTTGAACACCTGCTTTTTATTCAAAATTAAGTTATGAATTTGCAGCATCTCTCTAAAAATTTCCTTGTCTTAGCATACACACCAATATGCTTACTCAAGGCTAAGAATTATTATTTGCATAGATCCGTCAAAATGGATTGATGACAATAAATGATAGAACTGGAAAATGAAACGTTCAAAAACATGTTAAAAACATATTTAAACATGTTTTACACCTAAACATATAAATTCTTCACGTCGCGTAAAAGCACAACTTCCCACCAATCTGTTAACATTTGAACATAGCAAAACCATAGCATATTGAATGCATGCATTGCCTTCTTATAGGCTATTGGTGCAATGTTACAGACAGATTCAGTTCAATTTTAAAAACTTCTTCCTTATAAAAGGTTAACTGTTAAACTAAGTAACGTTACCAATTCTACCAAGGTTTGAAAAAATAACCTTGATTTTACCATTTGTTCATTTGCAAGCCATTTGCATGCCAAGTATCCCAAATTTAGGAAAGTTTGAGCAAACTTCTGAGAATCCAATCTCTTGCATTTCCAAGAAGTGTCCTATTTTAACCTTTCCGGCAGAAACAAGCTCCCCTTGTTGTTGTCCTCCTTCCGTCCGCCATTGCCACCAGATAGCCTTACATCTATTGTTATTGTTGAATGAAGAGTAGGTAATTCTGTACGAACAGGTGTGCCAGGAGGGCAATAGTAGCATGAGAAGCAGGTGTACTTTTCAGCAAATCGTATGCAGAAAAATGAAAGTTGCCATCTTAAATGTCAAACTTCATCCCCATTTTCGCTCGCTACTTTGTTGGCGGACGTTGCCGGCCGAAGACGTGGGCGCAAATCGCTGACATACTCGGGAGGTTTTCTACTCTCTCTGTCTTTCCCGCCCGGAAGTGCGTCTCCTAGAAACGTCATAGATAAACAACGTAAAACAGAAGTTCCACCTCTTTGACGTCATTCCCACCGCCCGGCCAACGCATTTCTGTTAGGACCGTGCTGATTGGCTCGGGCGTGCCTTTGAAGAGAACAAAGAAATGTGTTTCTGACTGTGGACAGTTATTATACACATGCTGTGATGTTTCTTTGTCGTGAATCCACTCAAGTGATAACCTTATGTGATAATTCAAAACTGCATAAGTTTGTTTTGAAATTTTGTTTGACTTGACTTGTGGGCTTATTCATTCGATGTCGTCCATGTCAATGATAATGTGCAAGTAGGAGGATCAATTCTTGTAATTGTCTGAAAAGGGAGAAAATGTCAAAATCCAAAGCATTGCCTAATAGTTTTAAACATTCAACATATGTTTAGGTAACGTTAATTAACAAGCAACGTATAATTTTTAATGTTATGTAACCCAATGAGGTTTCTAACTTCCTTATGTAATTGCACAGCATCTCAAGAAAACCCTGGAAAATATCAATAATTTATATAATTCGAAAAATCTTTATCATCTCTTTTCATTGAATACTTATTACAACCGATCATACCCATAATTTTGTACGGTGAACCTATGATCATGATCATCATAGAGCTACTCTCCAAGCAGAGGTTTGGGTTTTGGGTTGGTTATTTTTGGCGTATTTTTAGTTTTTTTTTTTTTTCGGGGCTTCTAGTGCAAGAAAGAAATCCCGATTAAAAAAAGCCTAAAAACACGGCAGAAATAACATTTGAAAACCCAAACCTCTGCTTGGAGAGTACATAGAGCAACCCTTTCCTGCCGTTTCAAACCGGGCGGGCGTCGCTGGCCAATGGCGAGGCTTGTACCATGGCGCCGGGCCCGTGCAGCTCAG